CCAATTAACATAAACCATTCATTTTAGTGAGATGCCTAGATCTAGGACTTAAAAGGAATTTTTTTCATTTCCAAATTTTTTGGATGGTTTTATTACCATTAGATGAACAATGTTGAAAAAGAAAAAAATGACTTAAGCTAAGATCTTGAAATGCACAAAATGAATGGTCTAGATTCGTTTTTGGAGGGGATTCATATTGACCATAGCTAGGGTTCAAATTGAACTTTTGTTTTTTGGGGGATTGATTATTGAGATAAAGAGAGTGTGTGTGTAAAATTTGAGGTCATACAAATACCACAAACATGGTTCTCTAGAAGTGTCCTTGCATCATATTATGATACAACCGTTGCATTGGATCATTGCTCCATAGTAATATTTATAAAAAAAGTTCATATAACAATCAATCTAAAGGGCACCTAAAAAATTCATTAGAAGAGGTTGTTTCGATGCCCTAAAACCCTTCAATCGATCTTATGAAACCTCAAGATTTATGGACATGAGAAAAAATAGAGTTCAAGTATTGAAATATTGCATATTGTAATACATTTTTTAGACCGTCAATTTTCAAAATTTTCAAGTGTTTATAGATCTGCTCAATTTTCACTATTTTTAAATTTTTAAATTTTATAATTAGAGATGAAAATGAATTTTTAGGCCATCACGAGATTTTCAATACCGAAACAACTTTCCATACTACTTAAATGTGCGCCTACTTTGATTGTTTAGGGGTCAAGCCTTATACAAACCACACCCAATATTTATCTACCAAAGGAAAGACTTAACCATTCCATATCCAAAAAGAAAAGATGAAGAACAGTCAAAATTCCTAAGAAAAAGCATTAAAAAGCCCTTTACTTGGGAACTAGAGCACCAAAAGCTTGGGAAATGAGAGCAAAACCCTAAAAACCTATGGAGAAAGGGCACCCATTGGCCCCCACGCAGCCCCCAACTTTGATCATGGCTTACCCTTTTCTCCTCAAAATGGGAGCACACTGCCCTACCATTCTCTCAAGTTTGGGCCCTCTTTGGTGGACCCTCTGTCACATGAGTTAGCAAGGGTTACTATGGTACTTTTGCTTTGTTGGACCTTTAAGAGCTATCTTTTGGGTGAAAGAGGGGTATCTATCTACTCTCTCGCTTTAACCCTTTCAATCAAATTCAAAGTAGACAGGTTCAAACCATGACTTTTGCAAAGGCATTCCGGGCTTCGTGCTCACATGACTAGCTATTTACCCTAAGGTAATGGTAGAGAGAGAAAGAGAAAGATATACGGTCTGTTAGTCCCTTGGGTTCTAGGTCCACAAGGTTGGTGAGGCACCCAAAGGTTTATTAAAGTTAATCAAGGGAACTCGTAGTCTTTTGGGATCATCGAGGTATATACATGCTCTCTCTCTCTCATTAAAGTTAGGAAACGGTTTATATAAGGTTGAGGCCTTAAATAATCAAACCAAGGCGCACATTAAAAATTCACTAGAAGAAGTTTTTATGCTGTAAAACCTCAAATCCGATCATCTCGATCTTGAGATTCATGGACGTAAAAAAAAAATGAACTTTTAGTCTTAGAAAATAATGTATCTTGTAAGACATTATCTAGACTGTCAATTTTCAAGATTTTCAAGACCTGTTTTATCTATATTATTTTTGAAGCTTTAAATTTTATAATCAGAGATGAAAATAAATGTTTAGATCAGCATAAAGGTTTTTTGTACTGATACGACATCCTTTACCACTATTTGAAGGTGCGCGTTATTCTGATTGTTTAGGGCCTCAGCCTTATACAGACCACACCCTTAAAGCTAATGAAGGGAACTCGCAGTCTTTTGGGATCATTGAGGTATATACATGTTTCTCTCTCTAAAAAATGAAAAACCAAAGGTTCATTAAAGTGAATGAAGGGGTACTCGTGATCTTCTGGGATCATTGAGGTATATACATGTTCTCTCTCTTCTTTCTAGATAGAGAGAGAAGATTTGCATGTTTGAGATTCCCACGAGGCAAGAGAACCAGTCATCGATGCTCTAAAAGTTGAAAATCATGGTTGCACCAAGGCTTGGTTGTCGAGCATATGAGTACCTCGTGCCTGCTCATCATTTACTCCTGCATGACCACGACAAATTTTTTTTTTGCTTTAATCATGCACTCGGATAAGCATCACCTATCTCTCTCTCTCTCTCTCTCTCTTGTGACCACCATTCACATAGTGCTCTACATTCATCACCATTCATTTATAATCATGGACCACGCTGTCTCCACTTCCTTTCATGTACATGGCCATCTCTCTCTCTCTCTCTCTTGTGACCACCATTCACAGTTCTCTTTAGTCTCCACTATTCATGTTCATAATCATGGTCCTCTCTCTCTCATGTATATGGCCGTGACTCTTCTCTCGTTACCACCTTTCATCTAAGCCTGTGGTTTGTATAACGTTGTAATTTTAAATAATCAAATTAAAGTGTATCTCCAAATTTTATTATAAATATAATTTTAGTGTCAAATATTTTTAGGATGGCTTGAAAATTTATTTTCATCTCCAATTTTAAAATTTTAAATAGTTCAAATCAAGTAGATCTATAAACATTTGAAATTCTTGAAAATGAACGGTTCAGAGAATGTGTTGTGAGATAAAACTATCTTCAAAACTCGAAATCTTTTTTTCTTTCATATTCATATATCTCGATATCGAGATGATCAATTAGAGGGTTTTCCAACATCAAAACAACGTTTTATAATAGCTTTTTGAGGTACACCTTAATTCTACAATTTAAAGCTGCAACCTTATATAAACTTTTTTTCTTTCATATAAATAATAATAATAATGCTCTCTCACTCTTTCTCTCTCTCTAAGTGTTTTCTACCTTTCATGTCAATAACATATCTTAGAGATAGACAAGGATTCATCTTTTCAAGGGTCTGGATATGACAGAGCAGTACAACGAAACTAAGTCCAAAGAAAACATAGTAAAGCTGCTGATATTCAAAAAAGTAATAAAAAAACTGTAAAGCTTCCTTGATCGTAATAGCAGGAGAATCAGAGTCAGAATTCCTTGGGTGAATTGTAATGATCTAAGGGGCCCAACTCATCGAATAGTACATGCCTAATGGTTGGATCGGAGAAGTGTTAAAAAGTGGCCGATTCGATTCAGAACTGCCTAATTCAAACAAGAACCGGTGGCCACCAGTTTTGGGCCCTAATTTTTCGAGGTCCTCGTTAAATCAGGGCCCGAACCTAGAAATAACATTATAAACATTTTATTATAAAAAGACTAGTATTTTTTAGGAAGATTTGAAGTTCCTAAACTTTTGAAACATTTTTAACTCTTTAAAGTTTGTTTGCATTTTCTAATCCTCTTTTCTCTAGTTTTACCGAATCGGCCAACCAGACTCACCAATGTTGCCCATTTGCCTCGGATTGGTGGGTGACCGGATCAAACCACTAGTTTGATTTTCTTTAACGCAGTTCATATTGAAGGATCATAGACAATGTTGTGTATTAAGGCCTTTTAAGATTTTTCCCTTTGAGACACCAAATTTTGCACACACGCATACCTATCTCAGTGGGGTTCTCTCATAAAAATGAAAAAGATAAATACTCTCAAAATATAAGATCTTTGGCTTATAGAATCTTTATCCTTGATTGAAAATATAAAAATTAATTAGCAATAATAGGTATAAGTGAAATGATAGCGTAGCTTGTTGTTGCATGTCTCCAACGTCTAATGGGTCCACGATTGGTTAAGATTGATGAAGAATCAGTTGTTTGCAAGTAGAGAACACTCCATCTTCACCGTCCACCATTGGAAGTGGAAGGTGGAGATTACATTTAGTATACAAGCAAAATATATCATGTATTATATACCATCAAGTATTAACTCCCTTAATTTATTAATAATAAATCTCACGATTAGCATCTCTCTGTATAAAAAGCACAAAACCGTGGACCCTCAAAAGGTCCATACTCATCTCGATTGAAGTTTTCTCTCTTTTTTTTTTAGTTGGGTTTGTTAAAGTAACCCAAGGGAAAATATTGGAATATAGGAAAAGATATCTCTCTCGATATGTGAGAGAATAATGCAAAATATAGTAAATTGGCCCACAAGGGACGCATTGCAGTCCTTTCAATCTCTCTCTAGATAATAATGCAAACTTTACTACTAATAGGGCCATAAAGGAAATATTTACAAACCTCTCCCTAGAGAAAGATGTAAAATATACTACTAGTAGGGCCACAAGGGACACATCTACAAACCTTTAAACCTCCCTCTGTATGACACATCACAATCCTTTTGAACTCTCGAAAATAATGCAAAATATATATATATATATTTTTTTGTTTTGACAAAGCAAAAAAAAAAAAACAACTTACATGATAAAAGCAAAATATACTACTATTAAGTAGGGCTAAGAATGAGGTCTGGATTCAAGGATCCATATGCATATCCAAAAAGTATACATGCGATCTAAGTTTAGATCTAGATCCGATTGGATAAAAAAAAATTTATATATCATTTTATATTTATAAAAAGAGTAATGATCATATAAGACCCTCCCTCACCAATATGTATAAAACCTCAAAGGATCACCATTAAATTAAATTTGACATGGATCTCTAAAAAAGTTATCACATGAGTGTGGAACTTGACTTTTTTAGAGATCCATATCAAATTTAATGGTGATCCTTTTAGATCCTACACATATGGGTAGAAGAGGGTCCTATAGGATCATTTCTTTTATAAAAAAATATAAATTAATTTATAAAAAAAAATACTATATGACATATATACATATATATATTATAATATACAATATATTAATAACTGAGTTGGATCCACTTGTGCGTGAATTCGATCCGAATTACCACTAGTATCAAAATCCAACCCGTTGGATCCAATCTCAAATCCCTACCCCGATGTGGATAGGATCCAAAATTTGGATCCTCTTATGTACCATTTATTTTAAAAATCACTCCCCCTTCTCTGCCAGAACGATCATTGGAAGGTCCAAGCAGGAAAGCCTTCACATTATGTCATATTAATAATTGAACAAGATATTACATGATTAAATACAATATTTACTCTCATGTAATTACTTCTAACCACAAGAAAAGAAACCTTTTTAAATACATGATCCGCATGATCACGTGGTTGGTTACAAATTAGACTAAGCCACATAATCTATCTCTTTCTACTATTTTAACTACAAGGATACTTTTCCACAAAAATTGAATTTTATTTTCATCAGCAAGTGTTGGGCCCAAATCCAATGAGCCCATTCTCACTATCAAAGGATATCTGGATCCCTTCTTGCTGAATATTTCCAAAAATGGAGATTCCGGACACGGACGGTGCCAATGCGAGGCAAAAAGTCCCACCGTCGTCGACCGGAATCATATAATTCCCGGCCGGAAGCGTCAGGATGGGGCCACCGGCAAAATAGAAGGACACAGTAGGCACGGTGACCATCTCGAGGCCCCTCAAGTCATAGCACGTGTCGAATATGGACTGGGCAGGCGCTCGTGGCAGGGCTTGCGTGGCTGACACGAATGCGTCTCGCAGAGCCTCGTAGGCTACTGTGGGGAGGCGGGTGACCGCGGTGCCGGAATCAAGTATCATTCCTTTGACGGAATCAGACTGCCCGAAAATATTCTTGGACAGTGGTAACTGCCAGGAACCGACAGCGAGCCCAGCCAGGCCCACAAAATAGAAGGTGGGTGCGCGCAGGTCGCGGAGCATAGGCGCCTGCACTGCACCCAAGGGCATTGCACCCTTGCCAAAAACAAGCTCACCAGTCGAGCCACCGGTCGCCCCCCGGCTCACCAGACAATATCCAAAGGCTCCGCCCATCTGGCCTCCTAATTGTCCATTAAAGGACATAGACCCACCACCCAGACCCAGCAGGCCAGCCGCTCCGATGAACAACCCGTGGTTCTTGTGGCCGCATCCCATGGCTACATTCCTCACTGTTGTGGCCTGAAATGTTAGTGTCTCTAAGGCCAGAGTCCCCTTTGTGTATGACCCGTCGCCATAGCTGACCTCATAGCGGCACCGTCCAGCCCCGCACCCTGAGTTCTCGAGGCGGCTGCACACAGATGAAGTACAGCTCACCCCAGCAAACGTCTCAGATGCGGCTGGGTCGAACACAGGGTCTGCCTGCTGGTAGCACTGCAAGCATGGGCGACACTGCACCCAAACTATGTCGCTCCCTGTGTCGATGACCATGAATTGGTCTCGGGCGGGGGATCCAACACCGATTCTCACAAAGTATTCGCCGCTCCCTTGCTCCATGCCGGAGACCACCTCAGCTCCAAAGTCGGTGAGTTTGTAGCCCGACTCGAGACCCAATTTTTTAGCAAGTGCGGCAACTCGCAACAAGTCACGCCGCATCCTTGACTCGAAACGGTGCTTGTGGCTTGAGGAGTTGGTGGGCTTGAATGAGTCTCGATGCAGGAGCTTGAGCCTCAATAAGTTGCCGGGTTTCGAGGCCGAGGGTTGGCTATGGGGGGTTTTTGTCTCGGTGTGTTTTGAGGGTTGGCTAAGGTGGGTTTTTGACTCGGCGTGTTGTGAGAGCCCTTTGGGTTGGGTTTTCGACTCGGCTTGTATGGCTAAGGTTTTCAGGGGGGGTTTTGACTCGGTTTTAGTTGATAGGGTTTCTGCTGGGTGGGCTTGTGTTGACTCGGCCAATATGGCCCGGACGTTTAGGGTTTGGAACTGGGTGGCGGAATTAGCAGCACCGACTGTATTTCCATCCAGGAGCAGGAGGAGGAGGAGGAGGAGGAGGAGGAGGGGGGGAACAAGAGCGCCAGAAACTACCATTTTTTGGAGGATGGTTATTTGCGGAGTCTTAGGCCCAGAAGAGGCACGAAATGGGGCTATTTATATTGGCTTCTTTCTCACAAATGTTTATGTCCGCTTTAGCATATTGTGGTATTTGATTTGATTACTATATGCAGGGTTCAGCAAGATATTCTTACTGTAAATTAAGGCTTAATTTATTGGGTATTGGTTTCACTATTTTTAATTTTTTTTTGTATTTTGCATGATATCCTAAGTATATATGGGTGAGGCCATAAACAATCAAATAAGGCGTACCTCAAAAACTCATTAGAAAATATTATTTCGATGTTGAAAAACCCTCAATTTGACCTTTTGACCTAAAGATGTATGAATATAAAATAAATAAATTTCAAATATTAAAAATAGTACATCTTGTAATATATTATCTAAACAGTCAATTTTCAAGTGTTAATAGATAGATATGTTCGATCTATACTATTTTTTAATTTTAAAATTTATAATTAAAAGTGAAAATAAATTTCTAGACCATCATAAAGGTTTAAACAACATATTTCGGTACTATTTGAAAGTGCGCCCTATTTTGATTGTTTAGGACCTTGACCCTATACAAACCGTACCTTTAGTTTATTGGGCAATTTTTCTTATTTTATGATTTAACAATATTTTTATTTTATTTGTTGAGTATTTATCGGAATTATGTGTTAACTTTAGTGAGCAGAGGAGGGTTGGCCTTGGTTGCTTCCTTACTAAAGACAAGAGCTTCTTTCTCAGTCTTGGCAGCTGCCGCCACTGAGTGGAGCTTAAAAGATGGTGGTGCGAACTTCATAAATAAATATATATTTATTTTTCTCATCTGCCTTTTCCCCACTTTTCTACATTGAAAAGTTTCTAGGGTTTAAAATTGTGACCTTTAGACCGGCCAATTTGACCCTGACTGTTTCAGTTATGCCCCATTTAGTCCTCTAATCATCAAAATAAACCACATATCAATATAATCACTTGAATTTGTTGGCTTAAATACAATCACACCTCTAAACCCTACCAGAAAATGTACAATAGTGCCATGGAAAAAATGAAAATAAAATAATACACCTTACAACTGTATCAGAAAATATAGATCATGTGCGGTTTGAAAATATATTTCTACTTTAAAATTCCAAAAATTATGTAGACGTGTGAATTTACGAGCAATTGAAAATGGATGAATTTAGATATCATGTTTGAAGATTTATTATTTTAAGACTTAAAATCCTTTCTTTCTTTTCAAATTTATAATGATCAAAGTTAAGATGTTCAGTTTTGAGGATTTCTCAAAATTGGAAGTGCATTTTCTTTACATGCTTTATGCCAACCTTTTGCAATTTAGAATAAAATGTTTCTCACATTGAAATACCAACCATGATGTGTAGTCCAATGTTTTGGTATTGTTAACCATGGAAGCCAATACAAAAGTGATAATAACACTAATATGATCACATGTACTTCTTTGGACAGGTGATATGCACTAATGCATTACATTAGATCCATTACAAATCAAATTATTATATATATCGTGTGGTATGTGTATTTTATATATTTTTATACCAGGTTGATCCGGTGAGGTCGACCATGACCGAACAGGGTCCAATCAGACACGAACCCAAGTTGGGTTAGGTCCAACTCATTTGGTCCTGGGTCCGACCAGCTAGGTCCAACACATAGACTCGGATCCAATTCGACCGGCTGCCGACCTCATTTCTCAGTAACTGGACGGTGGCGATTAATCGCAGTTTATGACAACATTTTACAAATGTTGATAATCTCAACTGTCATTACTAAGAACAATTAGTAGCCATTCTTTTGACCAACCATGTAAATACAACAATGTCCAAAAACTAGGCTCGGACTTGAGACGCATGAGGGTTCCGAGACCGAGTTGTCAATTCAAACTTGGCCGAGTTTGTTGGATACTATGCCAAGTTCGTAAAAGTTGGGATTGTATAGACCACTTACCTTTAAAATGAGGTCATAATTAATTATAATCATTCGATGTGAAAGTCATAACTAATTATAATCATTCGATGTGAAACCTGATAGCTTAAGTGTGTTACGAAGTTCAAAAAAACTTTCTTTTGGATTCTGAGCTTCAAGATTAATTGTGACTACTTTGTACGAAAGGTAAATGGATTCATTGTATACTTTTCTGTACAAGTTATAATTATAAGATGGAAGAACATCTCAAGCTTGGCAGGTATCGAAAACTTATCAGATAATTATTGGGATTCTAATATATCAATCTAACTATGATCATAGAATGAATTGTTATTAAGAGGAGTAGATGTGTTGAAATTATCCATAACTAAAAATACAAGTATTCTAAAATTTTATTAACTGTTAAAGTTGTCAAGAAGTTCTAATGTATATCAAAATTAAAGTATCAAAAATCACTATCAAACTTAGTTCCTTCATGAATTCCTCAAGAAAAGTTATCCCATTTGTGTTATTGAGACCTTGGTGCAACTTTCAGGCAAGTAAACACCAAACCCCAAATTTTCATATTACTTAGAACGTCATCATCATGAAAGTTATTAATCACAATTGTAACGGAACACAATAGATTGATTTTACCAGGATTGAAGTTATAATCGGCTTTAGAATCTATCATGACAAAGTAAAATTCAAATGAACTTATGATAAAATTAACATAAATTAAAAGGAAAATGTTTAAATAAGGCAAAGATAGAGAAAAAAAAAGAGTAAAGCATCAACTCAAAACTCACCGGGCATCAGATAACCTTCAAATCAATCATCTTGACCTTGATCATTATGATTGTGAAAAAAAATAAAAAGGAATTTCAAGCCTTAAATATGTTGTATAATGTAACACTTCATCTACACTTTCTATTTTCAAGCGTTCACAAATCCACATGACTTGTAACATTTTTTTAACTACAAATTTCACAGTAAGCTGCTGCCGAAACAGATTTTAAAGCAATCATAGGGATTTCCTATACAGCGTTTTCCAAACAAAATTGACAAATTTCGAGGCAAGGCTTTACTCTTATTTTTTAGTATTTAAATCCTAGGCCTTATAAAAATTGCACCCTAATTTAAATTTATACGATGTAAAGTGTCCCCCTTTAGAGGGCAAGGTATATTTGCGGTTTGCGGTTCTAAAGAAAAGAAAAGGAAAAAAGAAAAAGGTGGGATTATGTGATTTCCATCAGAAGAGAGGGCAATATAATCCAACATGAATGTCCAGGTCCTTATCATAGGCATACCCCTTTTACTATATATAAAGGTTTATACTTGGGCTAATCAGGTATATGTTTATGCGTGTGATGCACACGTGTGGCATGTAACTAAAAAAAGAGGGAGTGAGTGCGAGATCTTATAAAGGCATGCTTCCTTTATTAAGTTTATATATAAATATTTTTTATTAATTTTATATATAGATGCATGAATAAATCAAAAAGTGCGTCTAGCGTACTATTGCGAGAGAGCACGCAGTCTACGTGCTCCTTCAGTAAAAAGACCTACTTAAAAGAGTATTTTTTCAACCTAAGATTTGGATCCATTTTAGAATCACTAGATGAGTATTTTCGAAAGGGAAGAATATTGTATTTCGAGCTTTTGGTTAAACCTTGGGATTCTTTTTTAAAATGCATATGCAATGTATATGATTTTATTTATTTTTTAAAATTTGTGGAGATTTATAACTTCATTTGGGGTCCTAAAAATACCTCAAATTTTACCAGAGTACATGGACGATATATGGCCACTCGGGAGTACATAATCTTTTGGCCAAACCAAATACCAAAGACTTGTCTTTTTTTCATTATTGAATTGGAACCAGGCCAAAGTTTTAGTTGAAAAGGTTTGAATTCAAATCTGTGTTCAGTGGTGGCTGCAGGTATTTGCTGAGGAGATTCTAGGGTTAGGGTTTGGGAGAAGAAGCCAAATGGGAATATTTGTTATGTAATAAACAATAATATAAGGATTGGGGGTGTAAAAACGACAAGGAACAAGAATGGTGCATGAACAAAAACAATGTTTAAGTGGGTATGTCACCACCAGAAAGGGGCCTCTGATTAATGTGAGTTGGAGAGCATGAGACATGGAACTTCCAATAATTGAGTTATCAACTCACTAAGTGGTACCATAAACACACAAATGCCCTCTCTAGAATGTGTGTGTGAGAGAGAGACTCTGTCACACACATTCATAAGAACTATCATGAATGCGAGAGAGAGAGAGAGAGAGAGAGAGAGAGAGCAAGAGCACTCTCACAAGTAAGGGT